TGAATCCTAGTAAAACAGCTATTTGAGAAGTTTTTAAAGTTCAAGAATGATTTTGTGAATTTCGTGAATGTACAAATGAAATAATTGAAAAAAAAGAGGAGAGGTTGGGATTACAAAAGAAATTTTGTGGGCGTGCAAATGAATTACAAGAAAAGAGAAAAAGTTGGATAGATTTTTGCGTGATGGCACACAATTGAATTACTTTTGAATTATTGATAATATGAGAACAAGGGTACCAAAGAAACACACCAGATTTCCTACTGACTTTGCTTTAAAGAATAAATTATTATTAAGTTGATTATCCATATGATTTATTGAAGTTCATATTTTTATTGTTAATTATTAAAAAAAAAGGTTTTCTTGTCAACATTATGCGTATAAAATTTTTTTTTTTAAAACGATGAGTCAATACCAAGAATATAAAAGAACCCAAGAAAAAGGTAGAAGCGAAGCACTTGAGCAAGTGTTATCAGAGCATGATTGCTTTGAGAGCTATTCTAATTAATTAAAATAAATTATTCCATATAGATATTCAAAGCCTATGAGAACTTGGTTAACTTTTGATCAAATCAAGCCAACGAAAATATCAAGATAGCCAACTGGTTGACTACTAATCTAGAGTAAAGTATCAACAACAATATAAACATTTAAGCTTTGTCAAATACTTGCTTCACTCGACCAACCTATAAGTCGTAAGAAAGCTCTTCTATGACAGGTCGTCCAATTCTTGATAAAGTTGAGTCACCTAAAAAGCCACACTAAGATAAAAGCTAACATGTAGAAATATTAAACAATTATAAATGGAAAAAGTAATCGTCGCCAGCATATTTGCTTCGTCAATCTATAGACGTTTTATTTGCAAGAAATCACTTTTAAGTAAATAAATCGCCTAAATCTGAAATTATTTATATATCAATAACAATTGTAATTTTCGCTGTAAACTTCACTTGATCCATGAATTATTCATTCCCCAAATGATCCTTATTTAATTAACATTTTCGTTTGCAGAAAAACGCTTATAAGACAAGTCTGCAAATACTCAACTTAATATATTGTATGCTATCTAGGTTTCAAAAGAAAGCTGCAAGCCTGATTTCTGAGATATATAACTACTTGAAAATATCATGTGATCCTCACAACCACTTGGCTCTGAAATAAATGGATAAAGAAGCATTTTTATTAAAATTTTTTGTTGTCTCTAAGAAAAATTTAGACGATAAGTTTTAAAGCTAGAGTCATAAGCCATAAAACTTATCGACCAATATTTTTGAAAGATTTTTGAGGCGACTGCTATTTGTCTGGGTTGCAGAAGAGATATAAAACTCATAATGAAATTTTCACCTAAATAAATATGCGTGATAGAAATAAAACACTTTCTGAAACTGGAAAAAAATATTATAGAGAAAGATTGATTGATGAGAATGTAATAAGTGTAAGCCAGCAATATGCTCAAATAGATATTGCTCTTAGCCTGCATCTACAAAATCTTTTTATTAGATGCTCCAAATCATACAACAAAATTAACAAAATCAACAAAAGTAGTTATACTGCTATGTGAACAAAGGAGTTTATGATGCACCTAATTCGGGCATTTTCCAAAAGGCAAATCCTTTATCCATGGAATAACAATGGATAAAGCTTCCACCTTTTGGAAAATGTCCGAATTACCTGTTATGATGAAACAAAAAAAATAAATTAGTTGTTAATACAGAAATTATTGTACTACAACTATTTGTCAAGAAACTGAACATAAAACATACTGATTTCTACTAATTACACATTTAATCAAATTTTTGTATTTTAAACCTAATATTTCGTCTTCTTATAGAAGCTTCTATTGAAACATCATCGTTTAATATTGAACTTATCTACCTCACAGGTAAATGACCCGATTTTTATTACTTCTTTGAAGATGGCCTTTATTGTTTAACATTTAATGTTTGACTCTCAGAAATTAAAATTATTTCTGGGTTCAAATATTGGAATCCTTTGTACAAGAAAAGTAAAAGTTAATCTTCAAGATATGTCATAATAGTGCTTTTTTCAAAGAACCTATGAAGTATCTCCTGTGTCAAGTTCTTTGTCCTTGAAAGGTAATCACAAAAGGCACCATTCAAATTTCAGATATACCCAATGTGCTTATTAGGGAATTAAAAACAATTTTATAAACTTCTGGCCTAAATTATACATGCCGTCGAAATTAATTAATTATGGATTTTTTCAAGTATCAAAAAATATGAAATCATTGAATATACTAGAAAGCACCACATTTAACAATGAGTTTTAAAACAAGATGATTGTAACATAATAGTAGTATCAGTATTATTTAGTTCTTTTTATAAATAGACCAAGGTTTCAATAATTGATGACGAGGAAGAGGAGATGGCAAGTGATGAAACGGATATTGAAATACTATTAGAAACAGAAAAAACTCCTTATATATTTTATTACCTTTTAGGCAATCATTGTTTTTTTTAGGTTATACTATTTTCGCCAATTGTTTTTACTTTACTCAAAATGACCCTTAGCGAGAAAACTGTCTTTAGCCAATACTTTAGTCACATCAAAAGTTTCTTCGTGCATCATTAAACGAATCAATTTTAAGAAAGGTAATAAAGAGAAACCAATTTTTTTTTTGTTTGTTACACGCTCCTATTCAATAAACAAAAATTACATATTTGGGAATTGGACTATATATAGGAAAATCGACCCTCAGACAAAAAATCTATTTTTAGTAACAATCCTTTTAAAATTGGTTACACATGTTACACATGATTTTAATATATATACAAAGAAAGGATTCCAAGCCCTATATCTCATTCCTCTACTAAGCAAACAAGATACAATTTTTTCTCCAATTGTAATCATTGTATAATAGATTAATATTAAGTAAGAAAACTCAAAATAAAAAAATCAGCTGAGAGGTTGATTTTCCCATTTTTTTTTAAAATGTCATTTCATAAATTGTTATCAACAGAAAGAAGGAGCTTTGTACATAAAATCAATAATGAAATAATTAATAATGCTTTGGCTAATTCTTATAGAGAAAGTAGAAAAGATTATTTTTTTTCATTAGTCAAAAAAAGTAAGGAGCTTTCTGAAAATGAAAAACAATTTTGTAAAGAAAAGTTTATTTATGATTTTGAGTTAGGCAATGCAAGAGATAAATTGGGCATACAAAAAGAATGTAACAAGTGTAAATCAACAAAATACTCTGATAGATTCTGTGAAAGTTGCATTAGTTTACAATTATGGGAGTCTTTTAATACTTGGACATCTGGAAGTAACATTGTTGATAATTTTATTCAACAATGTCAAATTAAATCATCTCTGCCAAGATATATTTTAGAATGGATACCTTTTGAGCAATTTGAAAACTTAACAAAATTAACTGAAGGTGGGTTTAGTTCAATTTATATTGCCACATGGACAAGGGGAAGAATAATTGATTATGATGAAAATAAAAAGGAATTTAGTTATTATGGAATTGTTGATGTAGCATTAAAATGTTTAAACAATTCAAGTAATCCAGGAAAAGCATTTTTTAATGAGGTAACTCATTTTTTTTTAATACCAAAATAAATAATAATATTATATAATATTAATTAGTTATTATATATTTAATTACAGGCAATGAATTATTGTAAAATTAAATCACCAATGATTGTTACTTGCTATGGTATAACTAAATTCCCAGATAATGGAGACTATGTGATGGTTCTTAATTATCATGAAGATGGAAATTTAAGGGATTATTTGCAACAAAATCATTCAAATTTAACATTAAAGGATAGAATTACAATCTTTAGATATTTATGTGAGGCATTATATCATATACATGAGAAAGATTTAATCCATTGTGATTTACATAGTGGTAATATATTGTTGTATGGAGGCCATTGTTATATTGCAGATTTAGGATTATGTGGACCAGTTGATGAAAAATCATCAAATAAAATATATGGAATTATACCATATGTTGCACCTGAGCTACTTAGAGGCAAAATTAACACAAAGAACACAAAAGAAACTGATATTTATAGTGTTGGGATGTTAATGTGGGAAATATTTGCAGGTCATCCACCATTTGATGATAGAGCTCATAATCATTGTTTAATTTTTGATATATGCGAAGGTTTACGACCATCAATACTACCTGGAATGCCTGATGATTATTCACAAATGATGGAGAGGTGTTGGGATGTGGATCCATCAAAAAGACCAACCATTGAAGAACTTCAGAAGTTTGCTGAAAATAAACATGAAGGAATTCTTAATAATGAAAATATGAAAAATAATAATAGTAACAATAACAGTTTAATAAAAAAGTTATTCAAATTTTCTAAGAGTAATAAGAAAAATTTTGATTTTAATAATGATAGCAGCAGCAGCAGCAGCAGTGGTGGTGATGGTGGTAATGATTCGCAACAAATACACAAATCACACCCAGATGCATATCATACAAGTAGAATATTAGATGAAGAAGTTACTAAATCAAAAAGCTTAAAGAGCTATACAAGCAATGATAGTTTATTAAACAATCTTGATTTAAACTCTCTTCTCTTAAATGTTGGAGGTGAATAAAAATTTCATTATTAATATTATTAATTGAGAAATTACTATCCATTAATTATTATTAACAAATATTTTTTATTCCCATTTAATCAATTAATAAACATTAGATTCTAATAATAATAATAATAAAGGAAAAGGTATTGAAAGAATTGATAAAGTTGATGGATAATTGTAATAATAATGTTTTGAAATAATAAAAACTTTTTTCATTTTTTAATTATAAATTTTGATTGTTGTTCGTAACATCGGTATTTACATGTAAAACATACCCGAGAGCTTTCTTTAGAGTGTTAGTATATTAATTAATACCGTATTGTCTGGAATATAAGCAACACAATTTTAAGATGTTCTAGTCAACAGAAACTGTAGGCGGTGCTTATATTCGAGACATTTTGTTTATGTCTCCTTATCATTTGTGTTAAGTTCTAATTCATTTTTCCCACAGCAATGTCAAAAGTCAAACGTTCTTCATATTCTGTTGCTGAAAAGCGCCAAGTCTTGTAATATGCAAAATAATATAGTATAAGACAGCTGGCGTCATTTTACTATCAATCATTCAATGATTTCTCGTTGGCAAAAAAAAAAAAAAAAGACGAATTGGTAATAGTTTGGGAATAAAAGCAAAATATCCTGAGGCTAAAGCTGACTTAAAGGTATGGATTGTTGAATTAGAAGGGGAAGAGTCCTGTGAGGAAAAGGATAGTCAAAAATTTTCTTATTTTTTTATAAAAAATAAGTCAAATAAAAAATGTTTCGAAATATACACTAGCTGGACAAAAGTATTTGATCACGTATTTACACTAATTAGTAAAAACCCCACATAACAATATCACACGAAATTTATAACATTACGTGCCTAGATTTTGATAATTATATATTCGAAATTTCACGTTGCTAGCTCTCATATTCATGCATGTATCAAATTTAATAAAAATGTTTTTTTTTCATGATCACCCAAAATTGAAATTATTTATTAATTTTTCGTTGACCGCGATTCAGATGTTGCACCAAGGGCAGCTTGAATTCGTTTATTTAGAATTAATAGATTTGCTAATACCTATAAAGGTTTACCAACTTTGGGTTTTTCAATTAACCATCTTAGCTCCAGGTTAGAATAATAAAGATAGATGTATATATAATGTATGGATGTCACCCAGCTAGAAGCTAGGTATTGAAAAAACAATGTTCAATCTAATCAATCAGGTGAATTGGTTGGTAGTGAAGAAGCCGAACATTTTTAAATAAATCAATTATTCAAAAAGCAAATCCTTAAAAAAAATGAAAATCAAGACATCATATTATCTATTCATGCATGATTCATGAAATAATATTAAAATATCTTTTCTCCTTGTAGTCTTCTAAAGCGTCATTACAATCTGTTTTTATATTATGTAAAATTTACCAATAAAAAAACTTTGGGGTGCATTTCATTTATTGGACTTTTGTCACCCAGATAATAATGAACTGTTAGTCCTCAATTTTGCTATCCTTTCTTTCCTTTTTTTTACTCGACCATTCGTTGCTCTGTCACTCGTTTGAGAAAAAATTATTTAATTCAAACAACTAAACATTATAAGCAAAAATCTTTTTATTTTCATTATATTAATCAAATAATAAATAAATTACTACAAGTATTAATAACACTGATAACGTCAACCACCATCAGTATCCAATAAAGTTAATATCGTTAGCAATAAATAATATTATACAAGATCTTTTAAAATTATCCTATTGTTTGCGTGTGAATAACGTAAATTTACCTATTATCATAGAAAAAAAAATTTTAACAAAAGTAAATAATTAGTTTTTTGAATAATCTTTCACAAACAGTTTTAGAAAGTTTGGGTGATATTTTTTTTATCATCAATTCTTTAGTTGGTTTAGTATTATCTCCCAAAAAAATTTTTTCAAACTGTACTAATGTTAAATTCTTGTTTTGATGTGCTGAAACTGACTCGATAATCTTTTTGCTACATATGAATAATCTGTTTCCACAACTTGATGATTTATAAGCTCTCGACAATTATTGCACGTTTGTTGGCATTCTGCTGGATTGAAGTTTTCTGCAAAATAACCTAACAATTGCTGCCTTCTACAATCAATATTATTTTCACAAGACTTCATCATTGAAAATAAATTTAAGAGCTGTTGTTGTTTTTGCATTTCAGTTCCATCTCCGCCATCTATCATCTTTTTTATCAGTATGTATTCTTTACAGGTTTACCATCTCTGCCAGTCTCTTGGTGATACCCTTCTAGGGATTGTGGTAGCAAGTAATGAATCACAAACCTTACATTGGGTTTGTCGATTCCTTTATACAATTGGCAAAATATATATTAAAAAAAAATTAATATAATTCTTGCAATATATATATAAATATATCATATTAGTAAAATTTTAAAAATCACACATAACTTACCCATTCCGAAGGCAGTGGTTGCAATGACAACCTGCAAGCTTGCCGGGTTGCCATTCATTTTGCACATTTATTCTATCTGCCTTGTCTAAACCTGAATGGTAATACTTGGTGGAGATTCTTGATTGTTGCAGGTATTTTGCAATGTTTTCACATTTGATTTTAACTGTGCAATAAATAACATCCAACCTGCCTCTATGACTTTGAATGAGTTTTACAAGATTTGCCAACACCTTATTACTACTATCTTTGGGACAAACTTTATAATAAAGATTTTTCGGTTAAATCCTTGTTGTAAAACTTTACAATGTTGAATTTCTAAAAGTTTCATGACATCAAGTTTGACTTTAAGAGTTGCAGTTGCAGTTAAAGCGATAATAGGTATATCGTTATATTTTTTTTTAGATTGCACAACTCTTTATAATCTGGTCTAAAATTACGACCCCGTTGGCTAACACAATGAGCCTCATCAATAATGAATCTTGCCAATTGTTGTCTATCGTACAACCTTTTTATTGCAGTACTTCTATTTAACATCTCAGGAGTTAAATAAAAAATTTTGCAACTTGGTATATATTTTTCAAATTCAGTAAATACATTTTGTCTTTGATTAGCTTCTTGTTCACCATACAAACATAAGGTCGATATATCATGCCTGTTCAAATTATAAACTTGATCTATAATTAGCGAAAGCAATGGGGAAATTACAATCGTTATCCCTTTTGCTTTTCCAGTTTCTACCATTGCGGGCAATTGGTGACATAAACTTTTCCCTCTGCCAGTTGGCATCAGCACAAAGACGTCTTTTCCATCGAGTGTTTTGTTAATGGCTTCCAACTGGTTCCTTCTAAAACTTTCTAATCCGAATATATTATGCAAAACATTTTCAACTTCTGTTGACCCATTCATAATTATAAGTGGTTCGCGAAAAAAAACAAGATGATGTTAATGTTGACTGTTCTGGTGGTGAATAAAAAGATGACGAAACTGATAGTTCTGGTTCTGGTGGTGAGTAGGATGATGACGTGCTGGCGAGGAAAAAAAACAAGAAGACATTGATATGGATAGCTCTGGTGAATAAGGGGATGAAATTGATGGTATCAGTAATGGTGGTGCTGGCGAGGAAAAAGAACAAGAAAATTTTGATACTAATGGTTTTGATGGTAAATAGGAAGATGATAAAGCCGATGGTTGTAGCGGTGGTGATGATGATGATGATTGATGATTAGCATCAATTTTATCAATATTTTCCTAAATAGTTGCCAATATTTTTTAATGTTAATGATAAATGAATGTCTCATGAATTAAAATATATTAATATATTAATTGAATTGAAGATACCTTTCATTTTCCAACTCTAATATCTTTGAATTTTTTAAATTATTCTTGTCATAGATTAATTTCAATAAATCTCTTGTTATTGAATAGTATTCTTTATATGTTGCTAGGATCGTTTTTTCAGGTACGTTTATACTCATTTCTTAATAATAGATTAAATAAATATATTATTATAAAAATTAAAATTTGTAAAACATGTTACGTTACTGTGCAAATCCTTTCAATGAAATTATAGATATTATTATCTAATTTTATTATTAAATTTAAATAATCATTTATACTTGAAAGAATCAAAAAGATTTTATTTTTTTACCGAGGTTGTTGGTATATCATCAAAATCATAATCATAATCAATAATATTGTTGTTATTTACATTCTCTCCTTTTACATTTCCATTAGCATAATTATTATTGCCATTATTATAAAGATTATCTCCTTGAATAGAATTAAGTTCATACTCCTTTAAACAAGCATCATAAAGATATTAATTATTTTATCTCTTTCTTGGATCATACTTTTTCAAACACTCTTCATCAAAAAGGTTAAAAATGGTGTAAAAATCCGACTCTTTACGAGCTTTCCTTTTTATTTGTTGTTTATAAAACCAATCTGGATGCTCTTCTGTGTTCGTTTGGATCATTTTAAAAAAAAAAAAAAAATAAAAATATTGATGTTTAAGTAATGATCGGCATAATCCACTTTTATATAGACCCGGGAATGTGATCGCAACCAGTAATATTAATAAGGAACATGTCCTAAATAAATAATTAGTACTATTATTGCAATAAAACCAGACAAAGTGAACATTGGTATTACCAAGGCTTCCAGAGACCAAAATTTAACCATTATCATCACAATTGTAATGTGATCAGTTTTATCTCTTAAACGATCAAAGTATCTTTAATGGTAACATAAAATAATTTCACCTTGCCAATTTAACGATCTGCAAAGTAAAAATAGTCAATTGACCAACTTTTAAGGAAGATTTTACGAAAACCACAAGGGCAACAACTGAATTTTTATTCACAGATCAATCAGCTGAATTCCAAAGATCATTTTCGTATTAGGAAGTGATACCTTCAGAAAAAGTTTTTTATAACAGAAAAAAATTTCAACTATCAATAACCAAGAAACCGTTTAAAGGATAATATCACATTTGTTATCTTAAATGATATATAGAACTACTCCCATATAAAAATAATAATAATAGGAAGTTAATTTACATTAGGTCTACAATGGAACCTAAGAATTATAGTATCATTCGAAGTATTTTGAAGAAAGAACAAGGTGAAAAAATTACTCCCTTACATTTTCAAAATAAATGATACTTAGACACTCAAAGCTTATCTAAAAAAAGAAAATATTACCTATGAAATTTACCAAGAAGAAAGAAAAATAATAAAAATTAAGAAAAGAAAGCAAAATGAAAGTGTGCTATTACCCAACAAAAAGCAAAAATCCTTAGTAGGAAAATAATCTTGTTACAATATTGATTTATTTTTTTAATCTTTTAGCAAAATAATAAATAGTAATAAATATAATACCAGATGCTAAGGTTATAACTACTATTCATCATAACCAAATAGAATTGTTTTTACATTCTGCTGTCTTGATAAAATCTTCATTTTTTTAATTGCTAACACTGGTTCCTAGGTGATAGATATTGGGAGCCTGGAGATATCTGCTACAAACAAGCCTGGTAATACATAAAAGCTGTTAGGAATAAGTTCACTAGTTCTCTCAATTGAAAAGGGAATGGTCATCAATATTAATACACACACATCACATTCCAAATACCATCACATTCTTTGAAGTTTTTTTATTTTTTCAAGTTTGGATGCAAACAGCCAGTTTACCTAATTTTAGAAAACTTTATGGTAAAAACGAAGTGGATTCATTGAAAGCTGGATCCTGTGAAGTCATAATTGGATATAGTAAGAATTTATTTACAAACATTGTTTTTTTTAAAAAAAAAAGAATTTCCTGTTACTAAACATGGTGGAACAAAATCATTTGTAATTTCTACAGTATCATTTCTCAGTGGAAAAAACCCTTTCTTGGGATTTGCATATATTAGAATCGGAGTTCTACTTGGATGTATATTTACCATTATACATTCGTACAGTACAACCAAAGTAATAAAATCATCATCATCATTATGATAAATCTCATTTCATCATCAAGTTAATTTATCATGACTTTATTTTTTATAGAAAACTGGTGTCATTCTTATTTGTCATGGAATATAGTAATAATAATAACTAAAAAAAGTTACAGACGCCATCAAGTTATGATGATAAAGAATTTTCTAATATAATAAAAATAAAACGTATTACGAAAGTAGATGTAACACGAATAAAATTAATAAAATAAGATTATACGAAATAAATAAAATAGAATAGTAATATTTTTTTCCTCTGGACCTCCAATCTCCAGAGGACTGCCATGTAAAATACATGCTTTTAAAACAATTTATTCTTCTATTTCTTTAATTGGCGGAGAAGAAGACGATTTTCCTAACTATTATTAAGTAAATAAATAGTAATTGGTAATGTTAAGTTTTAAATTTTTTTTTGAAAAAATATATATTTATATATTAATATCAGAGTGTTGCTAAGAATTGAAGTCCAAAAATTCTTTTCAGTGATGATTGCTAATTATTCCACCCATAATTAAAAAAACAGAATTGACTCAAGATTGATTCTTAGTCAGATAACACCACATAACATGATAAATTGACCTTTTTAATAACATGATAAATAGACTGTATTGTACCAAAAAAAAATACTTTTTCGAAATTATGTGGGGTAATTATATTACTATGCTTTGTATCATCAACCAGGGATAAATTCCACCCATTAACACCCTGGACTTTTTCATAAAATCTCCAAATAATAAATAAATGGTACTCTGCTGAAAAGGAAAACTATCAATTTTTCCTTTTGACATGATAATATCATCAGTTAATATTAAATTAACAGAATATATATATATAAAACATGTATACCTTATTATTGTCATTATTATATATTCTATCATCTCTATTTTTTGTTGTAATAGTAAAAAACATGTTAAATGTTAACTAGAATGACAATGAGTTGTAAGTGGTAATAACCACCACCACCATTCTTATGATAAACACTTACCTGAATGAGTCTTTTACTTCGATTTCACTTATTCTTTTTAATTGTTTGTCTTTTGAAATGGACATTTTTAATTTTTTTTAGAAATAAAAAAATGAAATTAATTTCTTTATGGGTTAAATAATAAAAATTAAAAATTTTGGAATTAGTTAATTTCAGCCGGAAGAGCATCCAAATTTAATTCTGGTAACAATAGATTTTGTGGTATCTCTAGATTCTAAAACAAATTTTGAAAAGCATGATTATGTAATACTTACAAGAGGTCCAATGTTTGTTGTATCAGATATGGTTTTGTGTAATCTTTTTTATACAATCACTAATCCCTTTTACAGTTGCTACTAATGATGATGCCTTTGTTGATGGTTTGTTCATTTGTTTAATAAAATTTTCATTTTCATCAACATAATCACTGATAGTCAGGGTTGGCAAATGTGCAGTCCATTGATGGTCTATTGGTGGTCCATTAGCATAACACTTTAACCATATTTAGTGTTTTATTAATGGCAATGGACCAGTACAAAAGTCCATCAGTTCTAGTCAATTTGCCAACCCTGCTGATTTTTCACTTTTTTATTTTTATTTTTTTTTTTCTTCTTGAAATATATAGCAAATCAGTAGAAAATAATGAAAATAAAATTAGAAATGTTGAAAGACAGAATAAAAGACAAACTTTAAAAAATAAAATATTTATTGTAAAATCAATCTACCTAATAATCCAGGTAAAACAGGTGAAAGATGTCATGTAGATGAATAACATCACAAGTTTAATTTAAAAAAAATGGACTGATAGAAAAAAAAAATAGATAAGTGAGGTGGAATAAACAAAAAATAAACTGACATTTATGTCACAAGATCTTTACCTTCCAATTCTTTTATTCGTTTTTTTAATTTTGTGATCTCATTTCTAACTTCTTTATTCTTTCTTCCTGGTATGCAAACAAAACCAATTTTATGTTGAATTAATAATATTCACAATATTAACCATTATTGAACATTGACATCAATTTATATAACAATACCTCTTCATTATCATTTAATTCTTTAAATGGTCTAAAAAATTATAAAGAATTCAAAGTTTAGTCTCCAAATATATAATAATCATGTTTCAAATTATTTTTAATAACTAACTAAAGTGACAAAGAGTGGCAACAATCACCACCACCATTCTTTTAAAAACACTTACTCATTTTGTTCTTTATTTTTCTTGACTTTGTTTTCTTTTTTCTTTCAGCATTGTTTTTTTTAAAAAACTAGAGTGGCAACAACCACCATTCTTATGATAACACTTATTCTCTTTCAACCAATTCATTTTGTTTTCTTCTTTGACATTTTTTTTTAAAAAAGGAATTGTTATTTGATCTATTTGATCGACAAATATGTACACATAACAGTCAGGGTTTTTATCATAGATGGAAATTGATTCTAGAATGATCTGCATAATTTTAATTGGTTCCCGCCAATTCATTCCCGAATTTTTAAATTATTAATATTAATAAGAATTTTTGTAAAAAAGTTACAAGATTTTCCTCTTTAGCTCTCATTTACTTTTAGAAATCTGGGTGATTAATTCAAGCTCTTTGGTGATTATTAAAATGTGAGTATTTATTTATTTATATTTAGAATATGGTTTAAAATTACAAACAGAATTTTTCTGTAAAGTCACATGAAGCATGAAGTTTTTTACAAACTATAAGAGGAATAGATAGTATAAAGCTTCCAGTTTCAGATTAACTATTAACTAAGGTCCTCAGTAACTTCTGGATCTCAAATATATTAGTTTGATTAACTTTAAAAAAGAGCACTGTATTCTCTGGAATATAAGCACCACCATTTTGACACATTTTGGTCAACAAAACTGTGGGCAGTGCTTATATTCAAGGCATTTGATTTCAGATAATTTTTGTTGCATTTATATGGGGATGAAAATGAAAATGAGGAAGATGAACATGAAATATTAAATAGAAATGATGATTCAGCTGATGAATTAGATGGATTAGAAGAGGAGTCTGGTGATTCTGGAAAAGAATAGTCAAAATAAAAAAATTTCTTACTTTTTATTTATTATACAAAAATAAAATCAAATAAAAAATAATTTGAAATATATGTGGTGCTTATATTTATTTTTCTATTTTTTTTTGTTTTTTCATTGCAAATTCATACTGGTGCTTATATTCCAGAGAATACAGTAAGTTCATTAAATAGTTTCTTATTAATCATAACATAGGAATATATAGAATAAAACTTATAGAATATGCTCTAATTTCGCTTTTATCTATATTTACATTTAAGAATTACTCAAAATAATATTTATATATATATATATATTAAATTTATTAAATTTATATATTTATTGTTTTATGAATTTTAGAGTTTATATTTAATGGGCAAGGTGAAATGGAAAAAATCTATGAGATTATTCTGAGTTTCAATGACAATGATGCATTTATTTAATGTTTATACTAATACAATTTCTTCCAATATTTATTTACGCTTTACTCTCAAACTATCTTTCACTGTTGTTAAACAATTCCTTGCTAACTAATACTAAAAAATATCTCCCCTACTCAAGTCAGGTATGTTTTCCCAAACCAAATTTATTAAATATTACCTTACTAAAAGAAAAGAAATAAAAAATAATAATAAAAATAGAGACAAATATAAAATAAGAGGAAATTATTATGCACGGAATTAGTATGTATTCGTTGTTAGAGATAGTACAGTCTACCCTCGTTTCAACGCAACGAATTCACTAAATTCGTTGTTACAAAAATTAGCTGAAACAAAAGTGGTAATGATCGTCAGAAAAAAGATTTCATAATAAATGATAACGTTTATTCAAATTGTATTTTAATTATACAAATAAAATAAAATATAATTAGAAAATATAATTAGAAATTATTTATTATTTATTGAAATATGTTGCAATACTACTTTGTTTTTGTTTTTGAATATTTAATAATGTTATTTTTCTTTTTAATGATTTAAAAGATTTAGATTCAATATAGTCTATTTCTATATCACCTTGTTGTAGAAAATTATAAACAGTCTCAAGGGCATTTACAGCATATTTTATTGAAACATTAAACGTTGTATTACTTTTAGTGGCAACTTCCTCTTCAATTGGCTTGAAAAAAGCAATAATTTCTTGGTAGTTGTCATTTCACTACTATTACTTATTCCTTCATTATCAATTGTAATATATTCTTCTGCTTTTAATGGAGAGGTAAATGATAATTCATTGATTAAATTTTCAATTAAACATCACACCTTTCAGTATCATAATTGTGCATGTTTTTTTTTAAATAATCATAAGTTTTATAGTTCTTAAATAAAAATAAATCATAAGTTCCTATATACATCTTTGATAAAATCACAAAAGTAAAAATTTTATTACATCTTTAAATTAAAATAATTACATAATTTATTAGAATACGTGTTTTTTAAAAAATCACATGTTTAATTTTTTATATATAAGATATTGGGCAATCACTATTAAGTTATTCTTTCAAACGTCACTGATTATTAAAGTTTAATTATATGATTTAATTATATCTTATATCAATCATATTGACGTCATTTTGCGCCTAAAATAACGAAGCAACCAAAAATAGCTTAATAGTGCTGTTTACCCGATAAAATTTAAATATTGTATGATTTAATTTTTTATCGTATGATTTAATTTTACATGTTGATCTATTGTCACGTGAATTCGTTGAAACGCGATTAGTTCTGATATTCCAAGATCCCTACCAAAAATTTATTGTCGTTGTGTTGTAACATGATTTATATATAAAATTCGTTGAAACAAAAATTTTTAATTCATAAAAAAAGGGGGACAGAATCAAAATTCGTTGAAACAAGGGTTGACTGTAGAAATAATAATAATAATAATAAATACAGTTATCAAAAGACCAAATCCTCCGATTCTAATTGTTCTATAGGGATCATGATTTTTAATTCCTCGTTTTTCCTATTTCACCCAAATTTATAAATTTTCATTAATTTGTTGTTTATCCATAATTATAATAATTGTCGTTATATCATTGTCATTAATCATCATGGATTCTCTCACCTGCAGTTATGGCTTGTGTTAAAATTGACTGCGTGTAAGATGATATTTGTAAAGATTTATCAAAAACATTTATTTTTTAATATCAAAATAATATCTCTAATCTTATTTATACAAATTCTGAAGCACGTGATCATAATCATTCTATTATTATTGCTGAACTTTTTATTGGCTATGTGGATCCTTTAATTTCTCCAAAAATGGGAAAAAAACAAAAACCTTTCTCTTCACCATAAAGGAAAGTTGCACAATTAAAATGAACGAATCGAAAATTTGAAAATTTCCAAGAACAATGGGCTGTCATTAATATTAATCACTGCACACAGAAGTCACGTGATTGAGAAGATTTAAATTGGTGCTGTGTGCGACTTGCACTATATAAACAAAATTTAGAGTAAACGTTCTAGCTCCCAATAAATACCATACAAGAATACATGCTAATACAATAATAACAACTACTTTTAATAATAAAACTAAAAATGATGGTTTTGGTAAAGAGAGCGGATCAATGTACTGTATAGTGACATTCACGTTGTTAATATAAACGTTAGTTGACGCTTACCCATCGAGGATTTAATATATAAACGTTTAACATTTAGCCAACTCTTTCTAATCAGAGAAACCAAGAAATTAACGCTCAACATTATATTTGCAGCAAATTCATATCCACTCATTTTAACATCAGCTTTAGCATTTAAATCATCATCGTTATGAGTTACAGGCGTTGAAAATTTTCCAGCTAATAATATTGATTATTATTAAGTAATAAAATGAATAAGTTGATTTATTAACTATACCAATGATAATAATAATGATGATGATGATGATGATGATGATGATAATTACCCATGAAAGTAATCCAGGTCTTGATAATCTTGGAATTTGTTTGATTAAAGATTCAGTTGCATTTTGTCCTTGTCGAGTTTTTTTAAGGTCATGGATCCAAGGCCATTCCTTTAACACGATCACAACCATGTACATCGCCTAAAACAGCAATAGAAAGTTTTAGGCGCGGGAGATTTGGAAGTCCAAGCTCCCCAATTATGACAGCGTGATATTTGTTTAAAGATACGTGTGTATAATAAAAATAATTAGCAGGTAGTTGTCGAATGACTGACCATATATGTGTTGGGGGAAGAACAAGATCACCAATTTCAATACTATGACATCCGTGTCTTTGTTAGGTACTTTTGGATATAAAGTCCAGTGGCAGCTTAAAGGTTTTTGTTATACTTTGTGATGGTTAAGTTTGGTATTCATTTTTTAGCTTGGATAGAGCGGGATCGTACAAAAATATATTTACATCTAACTTTGGTGTTTTGGGTGTATGGAAATTTGTTGCCCTTTTTCATTCTGTAATGGTTAAATTTTAACGAGACAAACTTCTAATATTATTACTAATTATAAACTGACACTTGCTATATTAAGTAAAAAATATGCAAAACAAATTATATACATATTTATTTATTTTTCTAGGATCTTTATTTGTTATGTAGAATTTAATAATGTTGAAAATCAACCTTTCTTGTACTGCTGAAGAAATATTTTTAAACATCACAATTAGTAAATTTTGGGATATTAAATGCTTACAATTGGCCAACTTGCAAAATGTTTTTACAAGTTTTGACTTTGGTACTCAGCAACCCTAGATTTTAACTATGTTTTTTCATTTGTAACATGATACAAAACTACTTTTAATGACTTAAGAATGATCTTTTTTTCTTTTTTTTTAAAGGAAAAACCATTACAATTTGCATAGTTGGATAAGACTTTGGTGTATAGTTTACAGCCCGGTTGAATATTTTCCATGAACATACGACGTATTTTCACTGAAAAATTCATATGGTAATGGTCATAATGGTAAATAAATAAGGAAAATATTATGATAAAGTATATTACAATCATTAATCCAAGTAAGCATTACATACAACTCGGATTATTATTGGTTTTTACTATCACTGTTGTTATAATTACTATTACAGTATTATTTATTGTTATCCCCAATGAACGATCAACATTTTTGTACATTTCTTATTGCTTATTTGTTTTATAAATAAATAATATTAATAATATTTATTTAGAACATTAGGCTTTGTGGAACCAATCAAATAACTGGTGACGACACGTCAATCGTATATCTCACAGTAGATTGTGTGGAATGGATGTTGTAAAAAGATATAGGATTACATGCCGTGAAGCTTTCAATATTTGAAGCCTGGAGATTGATTTAAGTTAAATGGTATTCTCTTTTTGGAGCTTCTAAACTTGGTGTTGTAAAGGCTCGGAAGATTGCTAATGGTTCATTTCATGAATTTAAACAGAGGTTTCCACTATATTAAAGCCTTATTACCTACCATATCAAAACCTTCAAGAACATCTTTACGATAACATTTGTCCATTGTCATAGGTGAATTCAAAGATATTGCCAAAACCAGCACAAAATAGCTGTTATTTGTCTTATATTTTTTGTTTTGTTTCTAGGTTCTTTGTGCTGTTACCCTTTTATTTTTGGTATCATGTAACTCTTAAATTTTAATCGTATTCAAAGCTTCGGTTTAAACTTGTATTTAAATGAACCAAATCAATTTCTGTCACCACACACTGTAATTAAAGGATCAAAAGCTCTCGAGACAAAGAAATTTAGTCCGATCATAAAAACTACTCTACAGTTTGTTAAATTTACATGTAGCTCTCCCAATTATTCTAATTTTTAACACATTAATAATTGTTGCTTTCATTTTTTCTTTTTACATGCTCCTTTATAGCATCATAATAATTTTCGTGATCTTAAAAAGTGAGAAAAAATTTTTTATGAGATGTTTATATGTACCGATTTTCATTAATGTCATCATAGTCAATAATTGTCCGCATTAAGCACATAAACCTTTTTAAGGTTAGTAATATATAAATAATATAATAGAAAATAGTTACGGTATTAAAAAAAAAAAAAAGTGAAATGAAAATAATCCATTTTTCTCTTTCATATATCTCAAAATAGCTGAATGGGAGAGGAGAAATCGGTAAGTGTAAAGTGCGATTTCTTGATTTCTTTTTCATAATAAGAAAATGAAAAAGATAAATTTAGACTTTCCACAGAAAATTCCATTTTGTGATACCGCCAAGTCAGCCAAGTGGATAATGATGTTATGCATGCACTGTATATATATATATATATACGGCTTAGTTTATTTATTAAAGCATGGCTTGGATTTTATTGAAATTATATATAAGAGTGAGGCTTTTCCCTTTGAAATGATATTTAATTTTTTCCCATTTGTTCTCAAAAAATTCTTTTCACACAGAAATAAAAAAAAAAACCAACTTTAAAAAATAATGAAAGAGAAATTTACAAAAAAAAATACAATGACAATAATGATCTCATTATTGCTCTTAATGTTTAATCTCATTGGTTTCGTTAATGGACAAGATGTACCAACAACAACTGAAAATCCAGCTGTGGACTTACCAAACAATGTAGAACAACTCTCAATGGCTCAGTCAATAGTAGTTGGTATCATTTTGCTTGTTATAGGTTTCTGCTATTGTTTCTTTGGTCGTAAACTTTATAATCTCACCTTGTTCATTTTGGGATCTATTATTGGATGTAAGTGTTTAAATATTGATATAAAAATTATAATTGGGAAATAACCTATACTAATCATAATAAATTTTTTTTTTATTAATTAGCATATGTTGCCTTCCTTGTTCTTGTCAAGGCAGAGCCACCGTCAGGCTACACGGCAGAACCGTCAACTAATACGTTAATAATTTTATTAGTTTCCTTGGCTATTGGATTCATAGTTGGGATGCTGTTAATATGTTGCGCATCAGTTGCTATTTGGTTATTGGGATTGGTTTCTGGTTTGGCGTTGGCAAACTTTATACTTGCGTTTGGTGATGGTGGATTGATTAAGAATGATATCGCTAGAATTGTGTTTATTGTAGCATTTGCCATTGCGGGACTTATTTTGGCGTGTATATTTGAGGACGTGATAATTATTTTGGGTACATCATTTATTGGTGCTTATGCGATGATTCTTGGTGTTGACATGTTTGCCAATACAGGATTCCGCCTATCAGTTAGAGCATTCTTGGATGGTACTCCTTATACCACAAGTCGGGATGTTTATTTGATGTTGGGTGGATTGATTGCGCTCTTTATTGCTGGATCATTTATACAATATAGATTTCATAGAGGTCATCATTTTGGACCTTCACATCCTAAAGGATATGATAAATCTGTCGAGGGTGGTAGTGGTGGCGATCATGCTCCAGTTACAGAGAAAACGAAAAGTGGATATACTAGCATATTTTCTAAAAATAAATCTTAAGTATTTTCAAAAAAAAAAATCTGTTGATGTGTTGTTATTATGGTGATTTTATATGTATATATCCTCGATCTTATATTTATTATAGTTATATATGTAAATGAATCATTTAATTTTTTCATGTATTTTTTTTTTATTCTTTTTATTCTGTAATATATATAAATGATGAATATAAATATATATATATATATAAAAGAAGGAATCAAACCTGTTTTTTGTTTGAACAATATTTTCAACACTTTATTAAATTATATAGAATCATGAATGTGATTTATCACATAAACTTACACTTACTATAAATAATTATTATTAATAATAGATTTACAAAGTTTCAAGATCTGTTATTGTTTTTTTTTTTTAGGAATAATAAAATTTAATTTAATTATCAAAATTTCAAAATGAAGTCCAACAAAAGTATCTTCTCTCTGCTATCTAACTTGTATGTATGATTGATTTAAATATTGATTTCTCATCTTGTATATTTTGAGTGTTAACTTCATTCATCCACATTATTGACGATTTATACGAACTCCCATCTAAAATTTGAATTTTCTATTATGATCATTCATTATACATTGTCACGTCTTTCCCATTACATTAGAGACTGATTAAGATTAATTGGTCAATTTTTTAAATAAACCGAGGCGCAGTAATGATGGTGCAAAATTGACGATCTTTGAAAGCTAATAACTTCCAAAACAGGAAAGGTATAAAAAGAAGTAAACAGTTAAAATTGAAGCTTAATATTAATTTTCATCAATCTTGAAGTAAAACTTTTTATCTGCTTTAATAAAATAATAGTCATCTTTCCAACAAACTAATTCACCTGTTTCTTTTATTTCCATGATAGCCACAGTTTTCAATGTTATAACATTTATTCTCATGCTAATCTGGAAATCCACATTAAGAATTAAATTGATATGGAAAAGTATAGATAGAGGCTTCATTTCGTGCATTAATCCAAAAACATTTCATGTCTAAATTTTATTGTTCTTGATCTACAATAATAATGAATGAGTCTTCATGTACTTCATCATTCTATCGTGAAAAACTTTTATAGCTAATCTTTTTAATAGAATAATATCCTTTGCACATTTTCAAAATGGAATTAAAATGTTATTTAGAATTGAAATATTTTTAATTTGAATTTGAATTAATGAGATCCCCATTGGGGTGAATTCTGATTGGCTAATTTGAATTTCTCATGAACATAAATTTTCAACATAAAATATTAAAATTCAAATTTTCACAAATTAATTTATTGATAGACTTTTAAGTGTGGCATCAGAAAAAGGGATTTTAGATGATAATTATAATTATAATAATTTAATACATTGAATCTAATGTAAAATTGCAAAAATGACAAGAGTCGCTTGCAATGTAAGGGCTTGCCTTGTATGCTATCTACATAGGACTTAAATATTGTGTTACTAAATTTTCAAAATACATTATTTATGTGCATAATAATTAGAGTATTTATGACCAATATTATTATTAATTGATTGATTTAATTCAATTAATTATTCTCAACTCGCACACATTGATATGATGCAGCAACTTTCATTAAAAGTTTTAGTGGAACACAATTTCAGGTCGGTTCTTGACCTTATGAGATTATCTTAAAGATGAGTTGGCAAGAACTTAAAAGGGAAAGAATAACCAGATTTTTGGCCATACCTTTTGCTATCGACAAGGTAACGACGAAAGTGAAAAGTAAATGAGCATTCAAATCAATTATTTTAGATAATGTGGTTATTTGCTTTGATTCATTTCTTTACATTTTTACGATATTGCCTTTAAGAATATTATTATTGGCTTATACTAATTTTTAAAAATTGGACATATATTTCAACAATAATAACAACAACAGGATTCATTATTTAGTTATTTAATTTGTCTAAAAAATTTGATTGATTAATTAATAATTTTAACTTATATTCCCATTCACTCATTGATGATTGGTTTATCTCTGTTTGACAATTAATTCACCAAAGGATTATTGATAATACTCGTCAGTGTTTAGATGTGCGAGACATAATAATTTATTTCGCACAATGTAATTTTAAATTTTTTACTTTGCACACATGAAATCATAAATTTTGTGGCTTAGTGTGCGGATCATAAATAATAAATTTTTTTTCTTTTCCCGAATGAACTTTTTCAAATATTAATATAATAATAAGATATCTTTTTATTCATACCGAAGGCAAACACTTGAACAGCATATAGATATTGATTATCATAAAATTGTTACGGTAGCTAAATATAAATCTTACACTGCCACTTTGAATTATTTTAGTTACTCCAATTTCAAATGCAAATTTTTTTCTCAACAAAATCTCAAATTCGTAATTAAATGAATTCGGGAACTTTAAATGATCATTTATGGTAAATTTAAATGGCCTTCGATTGATTTATTTGATTTTGAGTTAGCTTTTGAAGATTAGTATTCTGAAAAACCGATATGTTTTAATAAAATTTATAAATAAAGCGTAACAAAATTTATCAACTGTTTTATAATTTATTTTATTATTTTTGTAAATTATACGTAAAATTACCCGCACATTAGTTTGCTAATAATGTACCAGGGTTTGGGACCTGTTACACGGTTAAAATAGGTTAAAATGTAGATCACTCTTAATTCATAATTTGTAAAGATCGATATGCATTTTAACCAGAATCTTGAATCGGTTTTTAATTTAAAATTAGTGTTGGTCGCCAAACTATTTCGAAGAGGCGAAAGTCAAAACTAAAATTAAAAGTTTATGTCAAAACTAAATCAAAAGTAAAATAGTCAAACATCAAAACTAGTTTCGACTTATGGCGAAATCTTTTGACTTTTGCATAACTACGAAACTCTCTAGTTTGGAAGCTAACACTAGTTAAAAATAATAAAACGTCCTACTTTAATCGTAAATCTTTGTTTCGGTAGGTGAAATGGAACCACATTATTGGCTAAATGCAAAGCAAAAGTGAAACACAACTAAATTGATTTACTACCTATTGAAATCTTTGTAATTATAATTTACTGTCATCATAATTATCATATATTTGCTTTGACTATGTGTTTGATTTACATGTTGGAGGTAAAAATCTAATGTTATTTGACAAAATTGTTGTTGTTACAATTTGTTATTTAAAAATAACACAAAAAACCTGATATTTTTGTTGTTTAAATTTTAAGATGATATATGTAAATATTATGCAATGAATTTGGAACATGAAAAAATATATAGGGTAATCAAAAAATTTGAAATTCAAAGAGGACTAGAAACTTGGGGTGCAGTGATTAAATGTTTTCAAATTCTTGCAAAACCAAGCCAAAAAGAAATTTTTATTGAAAATATTGACAATAGGAAAAAATTATCTGATAAATCAATAATATCCAAAAAGAAAACTTTCAAACAAAATACAGTCAACTCTTCCTAAATGCACACTCAGGGTCAGTCCCGATGATGTACACTTGGGGAGAGTTGACTGTAGTTTCCTTTACACGCTTGAAATCCATAAAAGATAAGAATGCTAATTATTTTAATATACAATATTATTATCAAAATAATAAATCAATAATAATTCTAATAAGAAATTGAAATTTTTTAACAAGAGCGATTATATTTTTTAGTCTTGCAGATTTTCAGTATGTAGGTAGAATTGTTTTGAATTTGTCATAAAAGCTTGACACTTTTCTAGAAACGATATTTTTTGGTTGCTGGTGTCATCCAGCAGTCTGCAAAAAACTTGGTTGGTGATGGTGGTGTAATTCGGCCTATTTGTTTCAATTCCTTTATGAAAATTTCATCTTCTCCAAGTTTGGGCTTGAATATTACACCAAGGAGATCAAGATTATTTTCTGTTAAGCAGAGGTTCAACCAATTAGGAATAATACATAGAAAAAAAAATTCATTATTCTTAAATGGCAAAATTTTTTATAAATTTCTGTTAACAATTTGAAAAAATTCAGAATTGAACCTTGATGGACCGTGTTACTCTTTTGATAGAGCCTCCCGCTCTCCGCATTTTGACGAATTGGAACCTTGGTCCAAAATGTAGTATTCCTACAATTTGTAAAGAGTTGCGAAGAATTGCAACATTGCTGACACTTTTTGTACAATGCGGTATTTTGCAATAAGTTACGACAGGAACCCTAGCCATGTTATATTAGGGGTTTGTTGTACGGATTTGATGGTTTTTGTAAACGAAAACAATTTTTTAAATGTAAATTTAAAAGTTATCTTTGATGACAGATTAAAATTATATCTATATACCAAATGATTGTTGTATATACAAGCTATTATAATAAAAAACAAAGATATGAATTATATGAATTGCACAATGATGGGAAAATATTAGGTCGGGTTTACCAAATTAAGAATAAAATTTTAAACAGCATTTTTACATAAATAAATTTTCAAGTTTTTGGCAAATTTCATATGATGAATATGCAAAATCAAACCTTCTATCTATTAATATTTCAGGGTCTTTCTTATTACTATCCATTATATTGATAAATCAAAATTTTGTCAAAATATATTAAATTGATTCACATCCTGCAGGAGGTTTATGGTAAATGTTGTAACAATTGGTGCCCAATTTACAGAAGCAGAAAGTATTAATACAAAAAATAATGAGATTTAAAAATAAAATTTTCAATATATTTACTAGATGAACTAAAAAGCTTTATTCTACAACTTGTGACTTTTAAATGTAGTGTACGTTTTGCTTTTTCACACAAAATGTTCATTGTACAAAAAAAAGAGATGCATGGATTTCAAATTCTTATAATGAACCTTTATTTTAATAATAAGATCAGGCCTTGTGACCAGGGTTCCTATTTCGGCTTGGAAAACAACAATTAAATAAATAAGTTTGATAATATAAAACTCATTTTGTCATCAATTAAACTGCTCTCCCAGAAAATTAAACTTTATAAACCGGATTAATTGCAATTGGTTTCGAGATTTTATTATAACTGGGTACCTGGTTAAAACCAGTTTTATTGAATT